TATATATATATATATATATATATATGTACATTTTTATTAGGTAATTTCCCGTTTATTTCCATTTAAAAGGGGCTTGGTGCATTCATATTGGGCTGCGAATAGTTGGGCTCTATATATTGGCGCCGAGAAAGTGCTGTCTGTGATATGGAAACGCTTGGGATGGTTGAAAGATGTTAAGTCTGCAGTAATGACGGGTGGCCTGGTGCAAGAACAGAACTTCCTCATATTACCCACTCCAACTCCTATCGTTACATTTCTTCTGACTTTTGTGACAATGCTTGTAAGTTTATCTATGCAGCGCATAGTAATTTAATTGTTCTTCTGTATTAAGGAGTCGATTCTGTAACAGTCGTTGATATCATTGGGCAGCTTTTTTACTCCACATAATATCTGCGCAACGACATCAACGACTATTGTTAAAAGTTACAGAATCGGCCCCTAAATATATTTTATTGTTTTTTTTTGTTATGTTTTTTATATATACACATGGATAGATAAAACAACTAATATAATTATTTTAGCCTGCATTATGGTGTCTTCTATATAAGAAGCCTTACGTGAACTCGAAAGATTTTATCAGGTGCATTGTACTATGTGCTTTAAGTTCATTCATGTTTGGCTGGCACGTACACGAGAAAGCTATATTAACCGCAATTATTCCTTTGTGGTAAGTCTTATACGCCTTATAACAGAGTCAGACCACGTGAAGTTGTCAAAACAGGAGTGAGAAAGAAGAGCATATACCTATATAATTTTTTTTATATACATATAGTATTTCATTCAAACTTATATTATCTTACATTCTAATTTACTAAAGTTGACAAAAACGACAGGCTAATCAAAGCCTGTTATTTCGTGGCCAGACTGTTATATAATAAGTATTAAACTCATATAAAAATTACTGTTTTATTATATTATGAAACATGTATTTATTTGTAGCTAAAAATATAATAATATAGTGTGTTTTATAATTATTTTAGCGTCCTCGCAGCGCTACATGCGGAAGACGCGCGCATATTCATTATTTTAAGCAGTGCTGGACAAACTGCTCTCTTACCATTGCTATATCCCGATAACTTGTCTTCTCTGAAATTACTATTGTCACTAGCGTATATGCTTTCATCGATTTTAATCTTGACTAATCACCACGGCAGACCTCTATTACGATTACATGAATGGCTGTACGTAATACCGCTACCACTAGTTACGATCTACGAAGTGGTACTGCATAAATTGTTGCTCGGCGACAAACTACCATTCTTACCATTAGCATTTACTTCTATATACTGTGCCATTGGTATAACTTATTGTTGGATGCTGTACTATTATATGTATCTACAGAATGACGCTCGTGATAGAACACCAGGAGACAAATCTAATCGCCACAGATTAAAGCAGTCCTAGAGTTTACAAATTGCTAGAGATTTACAGTAATAATTTGTATCCTTCTGAGCGAAATAAAACATTTTTATAAATTGCATATTTGTCAGATGATTAAATATGTTATTATATAATTTAATATTTTATTATAAGTAGAAATTTAAGAATTTTTAAGTTTTAAGAATTTTCTAGTAAAATTGTATTTTTGGCGCGAATGTAATCGAGG